TTCATCCAAACTGGAGCAGATGTGCACGGCAACCAATCAGCTTCTCTCTTCGGTTCGTTCAGTTAAGATTTTAAAATGAAAGAGAGAAGCTGATTGGCTGCCGTGCACAGCTGCTCCGGACTTTGTCTGCTCCAGTTTTGAAAGAGATATTACAATTTCTATTTTCTCTTTTGCAGGTTGAACAACTGACAGAAGAACAGAAAAATGGTAAATGTCTCTTGATTTCTCATACAAAGCGTGCCAGCCAATGGGAAAGCATCATTAAAAAATAAACTTGGGCCCATTAAAGTGACACTAAACTCAGAAAATAAACTATAACTATATATAAACTATAGATACTATGTAACATTCAAGTCCCTTCACTATGAACAACAATGTATCTGATTTGTGTATCACTCGGCTGTAGATCCTCCAATCATCTCTGACACTGTCCTTCCTTCTGGAGGGGGGGCTACGTCTGTTCCCCATGGTCCCTGTGTGTGTTGTAGAGTAGTCACCGCTCCAAGCTCACTCCCGGGATGGACTACAATCTCAATGCACATTAGTAAACTAAACTAAACATGAGATTATTGAGGGGGGGGGATTTATCAAAATTGGAGCAAACAGAATCTGGAGGAGTTGCCCATGGCAACCAATCAGCATCTCTCTGCAGTTTGCTAAGATAAGATTTGAAAATGAAAGAGAGAATCTGATTGGCTGCAGTGCAAATCTGCTCCGGTTTTGATCAATTCCTCCCCATTGCAACCTATTTTGAACAATGGATTTATAACATCATCTTCTCTTCTGCCCTGTTTTATCTTTCCCAGAATTCAAAGCGGCTTTTGACATTTTCGTGCAGGATGCCGAGGACGGCTGCATCAGTACGAAGGAGCTGGGGAAAGTCATGAGGATGCTGGGCCAGAACCCCACCCCCGAGGAGCTGCAGGAGATGATCGATGAGGTGGATGAGGATGGTCAGTTATTTTCCGTCTCACCTTTCCCGTCTAACTCTCTTCTCTGTTCAGATCTTTCTCTCTCGATCTCTTTCGTTTCTCCCTTCCGTCCCACTTCTCTGTCTCTCCTCGACCTTCTTACGGATTATTTTCAGCACATATTGAAAATGGACGAAGTGGATTTATATCCCTTCTGGTTCTGTTCTGTATAATTATAAAATTGTGATAGGAAGCTGCGCACCCCTCAACGAGAGAAGCCGGCGGCACACCGTAAATCCAACACTAGGAAAGCTTTATTATTCCACACAAGCAACACGGAGATGGACTTAAAGATCCTCAATCAGAATTCATATGGTATAGCCCTGGAGATGGCGGACACATGGGGAGGAATTTAGATATTCAAATGAGTGCAAAGATCCCCCACTAAACAAGGCGGGGGGGGGGGGGGTGGCGCCCCCAAAAAAGGCCCACTAAACAAGGGGGGGGGTGACCCCACTAAACAAGGGGGGGGTGACCCCCTCCTTCCACAAGAATTTGATGAGGTTTGATGATACTTTTGGTGATTTTTTTCTTTTAACCAAACTCCTTCCTTCCTGGCCAGGCAGCGGCACGGTAGATTTCGATGAGTTCTTGGTGATGATGGTGCGATGTATGAAGGACGACAGCAAAGGGAGGTCGGAGGAAGAATTATCCGATCTCTTCCGGATGTTTGACAAGTGAGTGATGGAGGAGGAGAGCAATGTGACCAATTACTGGATCTGGTGGTGTGCGTGTGTAATAATATTATATTATTATACACTGAGTGGCCGGATTATTATATACACTGAGTGGCCGTGGGGGGGGGGTCATAATAATCTGCCCACTCAGTGTATATCCCATCAAATAGTTGATGTAGATGCCGCATCGATATGCAGTCATTATTAATGGGCATGCTACAATTGTTTCCTTAAACTTTAACTATTGCAAACCTTTATTTGTCATCAATCACAAAATGTTAATTTTTTTTTCTGTGTTTCCCCCCGAAAATAAGACACTGTCTTATATTTTTTTTTAATGTACAACAATCCACATTTATTCATGTACAAAAATATGGTGATCAGGGGTGCCGTACGTTTCCAAGAGCAATTTGCTAACCAATCGCTGGCCAGAATGAGGGAAGCGCGCTTTCAGTATTGGATTCTCACAGGCGGAGTGCATTTGGTATCACTATAGAGGCTATAGAGGAGGCATCGGCTTATGCGGCTCTGCTCCCTCCGCTGCCGCCTCGCTTCCTCTAGCGCCGGCTTCGTTGGCACCGCTGATCCTCTCCCACGGCTCTTCAAGTTCCCCCTTATGCCACCAAAAGCCCTGGGAATGGTCACAACTACCGTGTTTCCCCCTAAATAAAATAAGACAGTGTCTTATTTTCGGGGAAACACGGTAGGTCTTATTTTTGGGGAAACAGGGTACATCAAATGACCCCAATATTTGCTCTAATAAATAGGGTACACTGTTCAAAAGCTAAAAATAATATAACGCCATCTACAACATTCTTCTTGGACCAATATCTGTGCTTTTCTTGGCTGTGTTCACCAATATCTGACAGAGATCAGCCCCGCTGCAGCCTCTTAGCTTGTGACTTGCTACATAGTTACAATGTTGCAGTCTTATCGCTATGGGAGGGGAGACTGAGGAAATGCTTCCTCCTGCCTACAGCAGACTGATCACTGGGGGAGGGGAGACTGAGGAAATGCTTCCTCCTGCCGGCAGCAGACTGATCACTGGGGGAGGGGAGACTGAGGAAATGCTTCCTCCTGCCGGCAGCAGACTGATCACTGGGGGAGGGGAGACTGAGGAAATGCTTCCTCCTGCCGGCAGCAGACTGATCACTGGGGGAGGGGAGACTGAGGAAATGCTTCCTCCTGCCCTGCCTGCAGCAGACTGATCACTGGGGGAGGGGAGACTGAGAAATTACTTCCTCCTACCTGCAGCAGATTGATGACATCATCTCTGTCTAGGTGAATTCACTGACTGGAGCTAAAAGACAGCTGTTTGGGAAAAGATATACTGTTGCTGTACATTGTGACATGTTGGGAATGTATTCATGGGGACTTGTACAACAACTGACAGGTTCACTTTACATTAAAGAATACATTTTGACATTAAATTTAGAAATAATAAAAAAAAAAGGTTTTTAAGGTTAAGTTTTATTCATTTACATTCCATCCGCCATGTTCCTATTACAATAAATATAATACAGAATTCAGCAGGGGGCGCCATCTGGTGGTGAGTTGTGATGCTGCAGGGTTTCGATCCTTGCCTTGTACAGTGCAGTGTGAAGAATTGACGTTTCCGGTCTTTTTGGCCGTTGTGCGTTTTTCCCAAACCCCACCAAAGTTCAGCATTCCATCCCCCACCTCGTATATATATATAAACATTAAAAAAAGATAGCAGGATATATGTCACGCAGAGCAGATGCAACCAAACGAATGTGACACGCAGGTAATCTCATACAAATGGATTGTGACCACTTAGCCGTTTTGCAGGAATGCGGATGGATACATCGACCTTGAGGAGTTGAAGACAATGTTGGAAGCCACGGGGGAGAGGATCACTGAAGATGACATTGAGGAACTGATGAGAGATGGAGACAAGAATAATGACGGCAAAATCGATTACGATGGTAATTTTGAATCTTTTTCTGTGCGATGTGCCGCTTAGCTTGGCTGTAAACATTAGTATGAAAGACAACCGCTAACACACCTCTACTGGACCGGCATCAAGCTGGGACTGGAGGGACCGAGCCTGAGACAGCCAGGAATGTCGCAGTGCTGATCCCAGAGCATCCAAGGGACATAGCTTAGACCTGAATGGTACCAAAAAGGTCAGTCGGGGATTCTTATTGTTTCACAGCAGCCTTAATAGAAGACTTTGTTCCATCAGGGCTGATAGAATAGTCAGTATCCAGGCAGAAGTTGGGCAGGTAGCAGGCAAGAATAGTCAGTATCCAGGCTGAGGTCAAGGCAGGCGGCAGTCAAGAATTGTCAGTATCCAGGCAGAGGTTGAGGCAGGCGGCAGTCAAGAAAAGTCAGTATCCAGGCTGAGGTCAAGGCAGGCCGCAGTCAAGGATTGTCAGTATCCAGGCAGAGGTTGAGGCAGGCGGCAGTCAAGAAAAGTCAGTATCCAGGCTGAGGTCAAGGCAGGCCGCAGTCAAGGATTGTCAGTATCCAGGCAGAGGTTGAGGCAGGCGGCAGTCAAGAAAAGTCAGTATCCAGGCTGAGGTCAAGGCAGGCCGCAGTCAAGGATTGTCAGTATCCAGGCAGAGGTTGAGGCAGGCAAGAATAGTCAGTATCCAAGCAGAGGTCAGGGAAGGCGAAGGCAAGAATAGTCAATATCCATGTAGAGGTCAGGGCAGGTGGTAGGCAAGGATAATCAGTATCCAGGCAGAGGCTGAGGCAGGCAGCAGGCAAGAATAGTCAGAAAGAAGCAGAGTCCGCAACAGGGTCAAGAGACACAGACAGTGTCAGGTGATCTGTTTCAGCAACAGAAAAGGCAGAAATTGGCAATCTCTCATGCAAGGTAGCTGGCAAGAAGTCACAGCACTGGCTGCCATAAGGCCATAAGGCACCCTCGTTGGCCATAAGGCATAAGGCACCCTATTGGGTATGCTCGTGTGCATACCCAATAGGAAGGACGTGCGCTACTCATGTCCTCGACCCACAATGCGCATGCTTAGGTGCGCACATGACCATAGCCAAAAGGTCACAGCCTGGCATGTGTGTGCATGCAGGTAGGAAGGACCAGGCCCCTGTAGGCACTGTAAAAGATAAGGCTTCTAGAGATACTGTAGCAGATCATTAAAAGCCTAACAGAGATCTTTACTCTTCTCCACTCTTTGCAAAACTAAAATGAAAACTTTGGCTGGATTTAGGCTTTCAATGTCTTTTACAGCATGGAGTGTATTATAAAACATTCACAGAGCTGTCTAAGCTTTAGATTCCACTAGATGGCGCTGAGGAGCAGAGGAATGTCCTGTGCTCCTTGGCTCCATCTTGTGGCCATAATGTTCTGTGAATCTAAAACTCAGACATTTGTGAGCTCTACGTTCTGCAAACATTTTATAGTTACACCCCCAGGTACACCCCTATGTAATTTTGGGTAACAAATGTCTTTCTTTACGCTTAAAGTGCATTTGCTAAAGAAATTACATCACAATTGCCAGGACAAGGATATATTTTTTCAACATGTATTTAAAGGCTTAAAACAATTATCAAGAATATTTGCTATTTTCATGTTTTTGCAGAATTCTTGGAGTTCATGAAGGGAGTGGAATAGATAAAAGAAAAAAATTGCCCGGATTCCACCTATAAACAAAATTCCACAGTTCCTGATATATATATTTGAGTAAAGAATGCGTAAAATCCAAAAACCACGAAGAACCCTCGTGTCAAACTCAGCCGCCCCATGTGACCGCCCAACTCCCCCTGTGAATTTCTGTGTCCCTGTAAAATACTAATATATGAAGCTACAATAACTCTATTTACTATTGTTACTATGTGTTACATTCCTGCCGTGCTCTCCGGTTTATTTGCACAGCTTCTTTTATACATTTTAGGGGTAATGTGTCGGTTTAAAAATAATCTTTGTACAAATATAAGATTGTGATGATGTCAAAAAGGAGGAGGGTAGATGGTCGAGACTCACAGGGATGGCCAAACTGCGGCCCTCCAGCTGTGGTGGAACTACGAATCCCATGAGGCTTTGCAAGAGTCTCACAGACATGACTCCCAGAGAGAGATGCTTCATGGGATTTGTAGTTTCACCACAGCTGGAAGGCCGGAGTTTGCCCATCCCTGGTCCGACTCCAGAGCATTAAGATGAATGTATGGAGGGGAACAATGACAAGGGGGACAAAGGCCCTCTGTTGGCCATTCTTGGCATTACAATAGAGGGTTGTTGAAGAGCAGTGGTTCTCAACCTGTGTAACCTCAGGACGCACATTTATCTTTGGTCATTAAGTCGTGACCCAAGTTGCACCGCACTGGAACGCACGGCATTGTGGTACCTCAATGGATCCCCAGCCTGGGGTCCAGTGTGGGCTGCTGTGCTGTGCTATGATGGAGCTCTATCCATATGTGCATCCCTTGTGTAGAGGTGTAGGCACCTGTAGCGGTGCCGGGAGCCAGAATGTGATGTCAATCCGGTCCAGGCACCTTCACAGGACACGCGAGGGAGCTTTGAGCAGTGCAAGGATGAATGGAGCTCCCTCATGGCTGTACCCCCAGCCCACCCAACCTCAAACTGACACTCGGTTCTGAGCAGCATATTTTGAATGGCTGCTCGGCACGAGAACTGACAGTGCTGCGCTAGGGGAAGGCTGAGGAGCCTCTCACTTAGTGACCCACTGAACAAAGGGTTATGATTCACTTTTGGGTCACGACCAGGGCCGGATTCCCCACAAGGCCACCGGGGCCCGGCCTCGGGGCGGCAGGGCGCAGAGGGGCGGCAGCGTGTGTGGAATCCCCCGACGCCCAGAACATGCAGTTCCGGGCGCCGGGCGGTAAGTTGCTTTCTACATTTAGCCCTGTTTTGGGAAAGCAGGGCTAAATGTAGTGTAAGGAAGCCGGCGCTTGTTCGTTCCCACCAGCCCCCCCTGCACTTACCTCTCTCCTCTCTGGCTCCGTCTTCCGGGCTCCGCCGCCGATGCGGTGAGCTGGGGGGGATGGGGGGGTTGCAGCGGGGAGGAGGGTGCATTGCGGAACCTGGCCTTGGGGCAGCAGGGAGAGTAAATCCGGCCCTGGTCACGATCCACTAGTTGAGAGCTAGAGCTGTAGAGCACATGAGAGGGCCTCTTTAGTGGTACCTAGTATGTCAATCCAGCACTCTATATCTCCTCATTAGTTCCCCAAAATTAGAATTGACCCCAAGTGGTCAAATGGCCATTAAGCTGAAACAAAACCCTTTACATGTTAGAGAAGCGGCGGGCTCTGTACACTCTTTTCATAGCAGCTTTCAGTTCTTGATTCCTCAGACTGTATATCAGAGGATTTAGCAGAGGAGTGATCATGGTATAAAACACGGATGCCACTCGGTCCATTGTATATTGATATCTTTTGGAGGGTTTGAAGTAGTTGAATGTGAGGGTCCCATAAAAAATAAAGGCCACGGTCAGGTGAGAGGAACAGGTGGAAAAAGCCTTCAGCCTCTTGTCCTTCTCTTTGATCTTGAGCACGGTGGAGAACACGGTGATGTACGGGATGAAGGTCATCAGCACGAAAACCAGTTCAAAAAGTCCACCGAGGAGTAAGGTGGTCAGGATGTTGATGAACACATCCGTGCAGGAAATCTGGAAGAGCTTGGACAGGTCGCAGAAGAAACTTTGGACAGCGTTCGAGTCGCAAAAAGTCAGCCTCAGCGTAACGAGTATGTGTACCATAGAGTATACAATGCAGAGAGTCCAAACACCGGCAGCCAGTTGGACGCAAGTCTTCCATTGCATGATCTGAACGTAGTGCAGAGGTCGACAGATGGCGACGTATCGATCAAGAGACATGACGGCCAATAAGACAATTTCAGTGGTGACCAACAAGATGAAGAAAAAAACTTGGGTCAGGCAGGCGGGAACTGAAATCTTCCAGCTATTGGTATAGAGGTCGAAGAGCATTCTGGGAGTGGTGACGGAGGAAGAACACAAGTCTAGAAAAGCCAGATTTCCAAGGAAGAAGTACATGGGGGTTTGGAGGTGCGAGTCAATGGCGACAAGGAGGATAATAAGGAGGTTCCCAAGTAGAGTCATACAGTAAATGTGGAGAAAGAGCAGGAAGAGGGGGAGCTGAAGATATGGAAGATCCGTAACCCCGGAGAGCAACAATTCAGACAGTATGGTTCGGTTTTCCATCAAAGACGTCCTTCTTCTTAACTGCAATTTTTAAAGAACCGAGTCAAGATTCCTAAAAAAAAGTTTGATTTTGGATAAGTTGAAAATGAATTTTTTTAAATAAATTCTTTATTTATACAACAGCACATATGAGATACAGTCAGAGACATAAAATTGATACATATAATTAACAGAATGGCATCTGTCAAGGCCACCGCCCCCAGGGGGGCACTGACATAAATCAAACATACATCTATTAGGCATAGTTGAAAATGAATTTTAAAACATTTTTTTTAAGCTTTGAATTGATAAGGGAAGAGCTGGAAGCTCTGTTTGTATTGCTTTCTATTTCTTCTCATTTTCTGCCCAAACCACCCCAAAGCGAGGGGAATTCCCACATGCCACAGGTGTCCTGTTGGAAGATTTCCCTTCTGCTCACATTCCAGTGACAACCACGGCATTTTGGATTTTCTCCTTACTTAGTGTCCCGGTGATAATGATCAACATGGCAAATAGAGTAAACCTGCCCAATGGGGAGTCTACAGTTA